CTCCAACTCCTGGGCTCAAGCAAGTCTCCTGCCTCAACCTCCCAAGTAGCTGGGACCACAGGCACCCGCCACAATGCCTGGCTATTTTTCGGTTGCAGCTGTCATTGTTGTTTGGCGGCCTGGGCTGGATTCGAACCCACCACCTTAGGTGTATGTGGCTGGCGCCTTAGCCACTTGAGCCACAGGTGCCGAGCCAAGATTCTATTTTTTAATGTTGTTTAAAAAAGCATATGCATCAATGAGCCTTCTAAAACCTCATGAGCTTTCTAAAGTGTGCACTTATTTCTTGACCTGTCCTAGAAGTGAAAATAAAATTTTGATTTTAACTTCAGGGTTCTGGAAATTCCAAAAATCTTGACTCAGCCCAGTTATATTGCTTCCTAAAGTCATTTAGGGGTTTGGGAACAAAGTTATACAGAAGAACTTTATTGTTCCTTGGGCTGGTGTTCCATACTCCCAGTAACATATGCTTTTTTGCTTTTTCTCTCCAGAATTTCCCCCTTTTTCTGCTAACAGTGTGCCCTACTTCTTTTTGAAAACTATTCCCCTTCCTAACTCTGCCAGCAGTGGGCAGATTGTGGAAATTAGGTCATCCACGGCCCGTTAAAGATTTTTCAAATAGAAACTGAAGAAAGAGACTCTCTTTTCTCTGGAGTAGAAGCTGAAAGCTGCTAGTGCCCATGACCCCAGCCTTGTAGAGGACGCTGGTCTGAGAGAAGCCCTGTTGCTTAGGAAAGCAGAGGTGAGGTGGCAAGTAATTCCGTTGAAGTCAGCCCCCAAGGACAGTGCGTTCTTGTCCTTCTCACAGTTTGATTACATAAGCCAGTAAGTTCAGTAACCCTCCTCTTCTAGGTTTTTCCACTGGATTTGTTCACTTCCATCTAAGATGCATGGTGAGTCCCGAAAATATGGCTCTAGCTCAGTGCCATGGGAAACTTAGCTAGGGGCATGGAGCCCAACTTCAAGGTCACTGCAGAAGTGTTTTCCCTACACCTCCCGACTTCAGGACTCAGTCTCTTTCTAGTCATTGTCATGTTGTTAGAGACCAAACTAAAGTATTTTGACTTCATGTATCAATGAAGACAGAAGATAGTGCAACATGGCAGGGCCCATTTTGAAGAGGGAAGTTCTTTTTTTTTTTTTTTGAGACAGAGCCTCAAGCTGAGCCCCTGGGTAGAGGGCTGTGGCATCACAGCTCATAGCAACCTCCAACTCCTGGGCTCAAGCGAGTCTCTTGGCTCAGCCTCCCAAGTAGCTGGGACCACAGGCGCTTGCCACAACACCCAGCTATTCTTTGGTTGCAGCCATCATTGTTGTTTGGTAGGCCCCAGCTGGATTTGAACCCACCACTTTGGGTGTACATGGCTGGCGCCTTAGCCACTTGAGCCACAGGCACCGAGCCTTGAAGAGGGAAGTTCTAAATAAATTTACCCAGTGAGGTGAAAAGAAAAAGGAGAAGAATGAGAGAGAGAAAGAGACAGAGAGAACAAGATAGCCAGTGAGCTGATAGGAGGTAGAAGAAAAAGGAAATAAAAGAGAAATTGTATTTACACAGCACTGAGAGTGAAAGAAACAATCACTTAGAAATTGTGGTCCAGTCGGTGAACTGTGACCACCTGGATTACCAATTCTTCCTTGGGAAAGGGAGAAGAGCAAAAAATGCTGTCAAAGAAGAGAACAAGGGAGTAAAGAATGGGACAGGAGTTGCATGTTGGTTAAATACTAAAAAGGTTGAATAAGAGATGTACTATACTATTAACTCCAATTTTCTTTTTATTTTTCTGTTTTTGAGTCAGAGTCTCACTATGTTGCCCTGGGTAGAGTGCTGTGGCATCACAGCTCACAGCAACCTCTAACTCTTGGGCTTAAGCCATTCTCTTGCCTCAGCCTCCCAAGTAGCTGGGACTACAGGCGCCCGCCACAACACCAGCTATTTTTTAGTTGTAGTTGTCATTGTTGTTTGGCAGGCCTGGGCTGGGTTCAAACCCGCTAGCTCTGGTGTATGTGGCTGCTGCCCTAGCTGCTGAGCTACAGGAGCCAAGCCAACTCCAATTTACTTAAATAAAAAGAATGCTTGCCAAATGGTCAATCATCTAGGACAAAATATGGCAGTATGTTATTTACAATTTCTCCCTGATCTTAGACTCCTCATAAGAACTACTAACTTTGAAGCTCTAAGGAAAAATTCACATAAGAACCAGTTAGTCAAGTGCTTCTGCTGAAATTGAAACTCTTCATAATAAAAATGAATAACAATGATTCTTAACACTTTCTCTAATATGAATCAAAAAGCACAAGATTTTTTTTTTGTGATCAGCGGTATTATTTAAATTAGCTGCAAACACTATAAAAAATTTAAAAATAGTTTGTTAATATTTATAAATTTAGGGTTGCTGTTTATATAACATTCCTTTCAATTTGATGCTATTACTTCAAGAGTTAGTGAGTTTACTTAACTTGGACAAAAATAGCTTTGAACATGAAATGCATTTATTCTAAAATCAAAGGTATTTTTCTAAAAGGATGAACCAGTTTTGTAAATGTGCGTGTAAATTTTAAAGGGAGATGTTGTTTTGGTACTTGATTCAGTTGTTAGAAAATGTTAAAATATGTTTTATTGTTTAATGTTTTTTTTTTTTTCCAAGATAGAGCCTCAGGCTGTCACCCTGGGTAGAGTGCTGTGGCATCACAGCTCACAGGAACCTCCAACTCCTGGGCTCAAGTGACTCTCCTACCTCTGCCTCCCAAGTAGTCGGGACTACAGGCGCCTGCCACACGGCCTGGCTATTTTTTGGTTGCAGCCATCATTGTTGTTTGGTGGGCCCGGGCTGGATTCGAACCCACCAGCTCAGGTGTATGTGGCTGGCGCCTTAGCTGCCTGAGCCACAGGCACTGAGCCTAAAATATGTTTTAAACAATTTGGGTATATAAATGTATTTTTTCTAACTAAATTTTATGAAATCAAACTACGAATCAAGTTTTTCTGATGAAAATTTAGCATCTGGCTCAGCGCCTATGGCTCAAGTGGCTAAGGCGCCAGCCACATACACCTAA